TCGAAAAACACATTATTTTTCACATATTTTACATTATTACAACACCTCTCTCCCCAGTCTGGCATGAACGGCTTGAATAGTTCCTGTATCAAATGAAGGCCCGCCTTGTGAAATACGAAATGTGCTGTGATTGGTTCTCTGGGCCAGTGTGTGCTGTGATTGGTTAGCTGGGCCAGTGTGTGTTGTGATTGGTTAGCTTGGCCAGTGTGTGTTGTGATTGGCTCACTCGGCGACTGGTCAGGAAATGTCACGCCCTTTAACATAGCCGCCTGCGAGCTTCAGTGTAAATATTGCGTCAATATCAAATCAATTTGAGCGCGATTTAAACCCGGATGATTGTAACCACTCTAAGATCGTCTGCTTTGGGAAAGCTAGCGTGTCTCCGACATAATGATAACACTCGTTGCCTTCTCTAGTGCAGCTCAACCAGGTCTCGTCCCATTCGTCGATATTTGTGATGTCACAAATCCCGGAAAATACGTGTTGTAGTCCAAAAGAGTCGTTCATTATAGTTTTCGAAAATTGATTTCTGTTAAATAAAATATCTCTTTTTGAAGTGGACTTTGAGCTTTGTAACTTTGCAGATCTTTTTTATGCTCAAACAGCAACATTACAGACTAGCTAAAGTTGAAAAAGTGAAAAAGCATAATAGGACCCCTTTAAGTGCCAGCTTTGTCTCAGATGTTTCTCTTTAAATTCATAACTAAGAGAACAAAAACAGACAAAAATGAACATTTGCTGAAAATGTACTCACCCTCAGGCTATCCAAAATGTAGATGAGATTGTTACTTCATCAGATTTGGAGAAATTTAGCATTACAGTGAATGGGTGCCGTCAGAATGAGAGTCCAAACAGCTGATAGAAACATCACAATAATCCACAAGTGATCCACACCCCTCCAGTCCATCAGTTAATGTCTTGCAAAGCAAAAAGCTGCATGTTTACAAGAAACAAATCCATTATAAAGATGTTTTGAACTAGTTGCTTCCAGCTAAAATACAAGTCCTCTATCCATAATATTGCTTTCCCCAGCAAAAAAGTCAGCTTCTCTGAATCAGGAGAGAAATACGCACAGATAAAGCACCATTTACAAGTGAAAATACTTTGATTACTTGTGGATTACTGTGATGTTTTTATCAGCTGTTTGAACTCTCATTCTGACGGCACCCATTCACTGCAGAGGATCCATTGGTGAGCAAGTGATGGAATGCTATACATTTCTCCAAATCTGTTCTGATGAAGAAACAAACTCATCTACATCTTACATGGCCTGAGGGTGAGTACATTTTCAGCAGATTTCCATTTTTGATGAAAACACAATCACTGTGATTTTTTTAAAAGCTTGTAAAAAAGTGTCTAAATGGGACTACAGAGGTTGTTGGGGACATTAAACATCCAAACATGTAAACTCATCTACTCACTAGTCACTTTCACAACCTTGTTGTGTTTATAATCGTGCTTTTGCAAACTATTCTAATTTAAGCTTTCAGGAAAAGATAAAAAAATAAAGATTGAATTATTTTCTGCAATAATCTGAGTGATGCTAATTTACAGATATACAGCATCACAACAGCCCTCTATTCTTAGTGACATCTAGTGGAGGAGTCAGACATTACATTGATTTTAATGGACGATAAGAAGCCAAATGTTACCAAGCAGCGTGTCCTCAGGGAGCAGCTCTGGGCCGGCGTGCAGCAGTGGGGCGTTGATGGCATTCTTACCCTCTTCCTGAAGGTCACTCACTATGAAGACAAAAGAAGATGAATAAAGCATCATAAGCATCATATTTTCTGGGGCATGTACCATGATAATACTATTGAAGTACATTGGAATATAGTAATAATTCAATACCATGGTAAATATCAATGTACCCAGGCACACAGTAAGGGTTCTTCATGTTTGTCTGCATTGTTTCAGGAAAACATCTATGATGAGCAAAGCGGCTAATATCACATAACTCGCTGCTATTGCTAAATCAATACCAGAAGCTCACTGCCGTTTCAATTAACTGATTAGTGTGCAGTGATTAATCAGCTGATTTATGAGTGACTCTCTCTCTTCCTCTGTCAGATTATTACAGTTCATTTATAATGTGACTTGATGTCTCGTTCTATGGAAAACAGCCTCAGTTTAGCGCACTTCCTCTAAAACGCAAATAGTCATCAGGGTCAAATCCAAACATCAGAAATAGTTCCTCCTGTATGCTACACACCCACACCATCAGCAAAGACGCATTAAATGTACCAAAAGTGACAGTAACGGCATTTATAATGTTGCTTTTTTAAATAAATTCTGTTCTTGTGAACTTTCCATTCATAAAAGCATCCTAAAAAAAAGTATCAGTTTCCACAAAAATATTAAACCGCTAAAACAATGTTTTCAACATTGACAATAATAATACGAATGTTTCTTAAAGAAGCATATTAGAGTTTTATTCTGAGAATAAAACTGTTTGCAAGCTACACATATATTTAATTATATTATTTAATGCCATCAAACGCTTTTTGGAGGCTCTTAAAAGTGTGAAATTAACTTATGGTTTTCATTTTGACATTACAAATAAGGATAGAAAGCTGAATTCAAATTACATACTGTACTTACAAAAAAACTATCATTTGAGACAGTGTTATTTTAGTATCAGTGATATACTATTATAGTTTTATTAATATTTGAATTTAGATTTTATTTTCATATTTTCTGTTTTAATTTCAACTTCACTTACATTTTTAATATAGTTGTTAGGACTTCAAGTTAAACTAAATGAAAAAGAGAAATGTTGCTTTGGCTAGCTGAAATAAAATAAGCTGAAGTTATATGTTTAATTTACACTAAAAAAAATGCTGGGTTATATTTAACCCAGCATTTTTTTAGAGTGCAGTTACATGGAACTTATTTTATTTCAGCTAGTTGCCAGTTTAGTTGGAAAAAATATATAAAATAACAATAATGATACAATAGAAGTCAATGGGCACCAGAAACTGGTGGCGGACAGATTTTTCTTTTTAGATGAAGATGAGTAAGAATGGTAACAGATTGCTTTTTTGTGGGGGGGGGATTACTTTAGAAGGATAGACAGATTCATTCATGTTTTCAGGGGTCTGTCCTCAGCCCCCCCCCCCCATGTAAGCGGAGACGCACTCATATAAACATTTAAGGTCCAGAGGGACAGTTTCACATAGACAGTTCTTCATCCACCCTGCAGATCTACACAGAGCATGCAGCATCTCGCGCCCAGTATGCATTTCCTGCAAGATTACGCTTCTACTTTTCATCATAATTGTGCATTTCCCCTCTAGGGCACCATGAAACATGGACCATGCCTCATTTTCTTAGGATTACAGTTCCGTTTAGGTTTCACGTACAGAGAACAATTTTTTAGAAACAGAAGCTATTTATAGTAACCAATGCTAATATTGTGTATTAAATACTACACCATAATAAATATATATATATATATATATATATATATATATATATATATATATATATATATATATATATATATATACGGACTACATATATTCACAAACAAATGCATTTTGATTTATATTAATTACTGTATATATGTATTTTTTTTTATTTTGTTAATTAATTTAATTAAGAGCGATTGCATTATTTAACCATGATTTTAAATGAAAAACAGCATAAAATAGCCATGTACTGATTGTTAACCATAGTGAACATGCATACACTGTACAGGTTCTTGTGCACCAAACAGACCTGCTATTATTATTACTTAACACAATCATACCCTATATTATAAATACTATAATATTTTATAATAATGTTTCGGTGTATGATTGCAAAAGCATGTGTATTCATACATAAATATATAAAATTTTATATCAAATATTTAACATGTAAATCTAACATGGCAACATACATCTGCATTCATTTAATTAAACTGTTGCACTATAAAACAGCCCAAAGTCTACCTTGCTTTCTTTTCTTCGTTCCACACAGTAGACCAGCCATGTCCCGTTAAACAGCGCTGAATCCTGCTAATGTCCTGCAGTGAGTCTCGGTGGCGAGTGCGAGTGTGTGTGTGTATATGTGTGTGTGTGTGTGTGAGGCCGCCAGTGTGGCTACAGCAGTCGCACCCGCGTCATCACGTGTTATTTCTGTCCCTTTGAAACCCCCCACCCTCACTGCTCCTGTTTCAATGAGGACGAGACGCTGCTCTACACTCTGCTCTTATAGAGTCTTACACAGTAGATGCAACACGTGACCGTATGATGAGCACACTAATGAGGGACTAACCAGAATAACACTTGATGGAGAGATGATAAACCCCTGCTTTTTACAATATTGTACATCTGTCTTTAATTTTTTTTTCTCCGTATATGTGTGTGTGTGTGTGTGTGTGAGGCCGCCAGTGTGGCTACAGCAGTCGCACCCGCGTCATCACGTGTTATTTCTGTCCCTTTGAAACCCCCCACCCTCACTGCTCCTGTTTCAATGAGGACGAGACGCTGCTCTACACTCTGCTCTTATAGAGTCTTACACAGTAGATGCAACACGTGACCGTATGATGAGCACACTAATGAGGGACTAACCAGAATAACACTTGATGGAGAGATGATAAACCCCTGCTTTTTACAATATTGTACATCTGTCTTGAATTTTTTTTTCTCCAACACAATAAACTGTTATTTTTTGTCTTAATATTCTGTACTATTCTATAATGAATTAGACCTTCCAATTTTTCAGGCAACACATGAAATCGATTCATTAATCTTTAAAGATTTTCATATTTTACATTTGTATTCTATACTATATTCAAGTTATTCTGCAACACACAAAATCTTTATGATCTTTGAAAAATTCCAGATCTTTAATGTCTATTGTCTAATTGATTCTATTTTGTTACATTCTATTCTATTCTGGATTATTCAAGATTTTCTGCTACGCATCTTCATGGCTCTTCGAATATTTCCAGATCTTAAATGTCTGTTGTCTAATTTATTGTTTTCTATTCCATTCTATTCTATTCTGGATTAAATATTCAAGTTTTTCTGCAATACATGAAATCTTCATGGCTCTTTGAATATTTCCAGATCTTAAATGTCTGTTGTCAAATGATTCTATTCTATTCTATTTTCAAGTTATTTTGCAGCACATTAAATCTTCATGGATCCTCAGCTATTTCCAGATCTTAGATGTCTGTTTTTTAATTGATTCTATTCTATTCTATCAACAGATTAGATATTCATGTTTTCTGCAACACACAAAAATCGACATAGATCTTAGATGTCTTTTGTCTAATTTATTCTATTCTATTGGATTATATGGATTCTATTCTAATGGATCAGTGTGTCGTCTAATTAAATATATTATATTCCAGATTGAATATACAAGTATTCCTGCAACACATGTAATCTTCATGGATCTGCCAAATTGTCCAGGTCTTAAATATGTGTTATCTAACTCTATTCGATTCTATTCGGTTCTATTCTATTATGGGTTAAATATTCAAGTTTTTCTGTAACACATGAAATCGTCATGGATCTTCAAAGATTTCCAGATCTTAGATGTGTGTGGTCTAATTCTATTCTATAATTTATTAGATATTTAAGGTCACCGAGACATTTATATTATTGATTTTTCTTATATATTAACAGTTCTGATGAATGAAGTTATTAATTGATTTAATCACAAGTCATTTTCAGGAAGTCAACGATGTGCTCTCAAAGTTAATTTCTCACGTTCAAATCAATTAGTAAAAAGCTGCTGATCAGCGAGTGCAGTGGCTACACAGACACGACACAACAAACACTTCCCTGAGAAATCAATACACACTCACTGCGGTTTTTGTCAGCGGTGTGTGTGTGTGTGTGTGTGTGTGTGTGTCTGTCTGTACGGCTTGAGGAAAGTTATTTATTACAAAGCTGACAAAAATAACAGTCCGGTCAGAGGAATGGAGCTGCTCTTAAATATAGCAGCACTTATTTGTGGGATCATTGGGATGCTGGAGTGGGAAATGGATGCCGGATGAGTAACACAGTTCAGATGTCAAGAAGATGATTGTGTCATGTCAACCAAACTTCCTGCATTACACACAGTCCACAGTTAGTCTCCATATTAGACACTGTCTGTCATTAATCTCTGGATTATATGCTGTCAGTCATGTGTACCAGATAACCTTAATAAACATTAATATTCATTTCAAAATATGAATATGACAAAATATGAAAGTTTTGTGTCAATCCTATTTCAATGTTGTTTCAGGGATAAGCTAGTTTGACAAGACCAATATATGTGAAAATTAACAATGAAATACTTTTTTTTTTTTTTTTTCCAAGGGTCACTTAAGTATTTGTTGTCGGAAACACTGAACCATTATTACAGTTTGAGCAGAACATTTCTCAAAAAATGCATACAAATAGTTTTTTTTTATTATATAATGAAAAAATATATATTTGAATCTCAATCAAATCTAGGCTACATTTATGAATAACTTTTTTTTTATATATATGGACCATTAAAACGAAGTGTTTTTTAATTTCTAAACAACATCATTTTAAGTATTATCTGAGAATACGGAGCTGTGATGATAACCAACCAATTAACATAAGAGGAAAAATGCTCCTTAGGAAATACTATGACCATTTCATAACCTTCACCATCACTTTTTACATTCATAAACACATCCTTTCATCATCCTGATTAGTGTATTAACATTGACGTAGCTGAAAGGTATTTTAGGAGCTGAAAACTATCCATGATGACAAACTAGACTTAAAGCTATTTTTAACACAGCTACACTTCACTTCAGAGAGCTACACACAAACACAGATAAACGTCACTGATACTCAATGTACAAACATAGACAGGAGTGAAACTTACTGACATCCATGTTCCTCAAAGCTTTGAACTCGTCTAAGGACACTTGGAGGCAGCAACAGCCAGATCTCTCAGTAATGTATCACTCATACACACACAATAATATGTAAGTCAAGATCCTGACACACAAACATGCACTCACACATCCTCAATATATATCAGAGGGCTTGCTGATATCAGCTTCTGCACAGCAGGGATGGGAAATGCTGCTGTCAATCATAACAACTACTACTTTCCTGAAGAAAACAAACCACTCTTTCTAACAAATTTTCTCTGGGTGGCGCTATAAACGTCACATTTACTCATCTAAACAACAACACTGCTTGACTAAAGTCACTCATCTCTAAGACACTTGACCAGCAAAAACAATCACATTTTCTACAAATTGCCATGAAAAATGTATGATTGTGTTTCCTCTCAGAGTTTTCAAACTACCTCCACCAATCAGCACAGTTCTGAATACAGGCCATGCAGCCTGGATACCTTAGCAACCAGCCAAATTATCCATTCAGAAAACCCTAGCAACATCCTAACACCCAGCCAGAACACCCAAGCAAACAGCCAAAGCACCCCAGCAACACCCAAGTAAACAACCAAAACACCCTAGCAACGCCCTAACAACCTTCCAGAACACCCATGCAACACGTGTTAAACAAGCTAGCTAGCAAGCTAGTGTTAAACAACCAAAACACCCTAGCAACACCATAACAACCTTCCAGAACACCCATGCAACATCCTAGTAACCAGCCAGAACACTCTAAACAGGCAAAACCCCCTAGCAACACCCTAACAACCAGCAAGAACACCCAAACATCTTTTAGACAACCCTAGGAACACCCTAACAAAGGCCAGAACACCTTAGCAAACAGCCAAAACACCCTAGCAACACCCTAACAACTTTCCAGAACACCCATGCAACATCCTAACAACCAGCCAGAATACCCTAGCAACACCCTAACAGCCATTCAGAAAATTGTAGCAACACTCTAACAACCAACCAGAACTCCCTAACAAACAGCCAAAACACCCTGGCAACACCCTAACAACCACCCAGAACACCCAAACAACTATACAGTACACCTTAGCAACTGGCCTAGCAACAAACCCCAGCACCCGTTTGAACACGATAGTAACAACCTAACAACCAAGTGTTGGGAAGGTTACTTTGGGAATGTAATAGACAAGTTACCCTATTTAAAATATAATAAGTAGTGTAACTATTTCAATTACTTTATTAAAGTAATGTAACTGATTACTTTTGATTACTTTTCTAAATTTCTAACAAATGTGTTCAGCTATTAATCATTTTGAAACATTTAAAGCAGGCAGGGCTAACCTCACAGCAGCACTCCGCACTGATTTCTGTCAGACTTTCAAAATCCTTCATCTCTTGAATTAAGATTGCAATAATTTAATTTTAAAGCAAAATCTGACTTTAGCACCTCTTTTTACTTTGAGATCGTTCTGAGGTTAGATACAAGTTTAAAATCATAAGATGTAGATCGCTATGATACGGTTTTGAAACCAATGTACATGTAGTTAATATTACTCAGTACTTGAGTAACGAATAATGAATAATTACACTGTAATAAGGACACCTTCAAATAAAGTGTAACCTTGTAATAAAATAAAGTGTAACCATAAAGTGTAGTTACTTCCCAACACTACTAACAACCATTTAGAACACCCTGGCAACCACTCAAAACACCTTTCAAACAACTGCAAAAGTATTTAAAAATCGACAAGCTCAAAATAACCGTTAGACTTTCAGCCAAAGCTTATCAGTTTATCAGGCCAGAAATGGGCTGCTACAATGGTGCTGAATACTGAGCCTCTAAACAATCTATAAAGCGTCTTTGAAAGTTCCCAAAAAGGATTCTTCTGAACAAAAAGTGACTCAAGAGACTTGAACACATGCTGTCACTCCTGTGTTACTGTCTGGACAAAAACAGGACGACCACTCTGTTCCACAATGGCACACACACACACACACACACACTTACACAAACACACTTTACTGTGCAGCTGTTCAAACAGATGGAGACTGGAAGGGGTGAGTCTGATCTAAAATAGCACAAAATACCATCAAAAATGCAGATTTTTAACTCTTTATAGAGTTTGAAACAATATAAGTAAACAGAAGGACAAAGCAGTCCACCTCATTCTTATCTGAATAACCTTGAGCTCCTGACCTGGCTATTTCTGTCTTAAGACAACAACACCACAGTATAACTGTCTGTGGCTTAAGTTATGCTCATAAAAGAAGAGTAAATCAACAATGCTTATAAAACTATCATTGCACAGTTACTTACACTAGTCTAGTAGAAATATATATATTATATATATTAAATATTATCATTTGTATATATATATATATATATATATTTAATATAAATAAAACAAGCGTTTAAATATCCTGGAATGAAAGAAGCATTTTTATAAATTAGTGTATTGATCAAGTGCAGCACCATGGACAGCGATAAAAATCAATCGTGATGCCATCTAATCATTTTCTCCGTTCCTTTGTTAAGTTGCAATATCCTGGAAAACATTACCTTCTTTAATCTTCTTTTTGCGAACTAGCGTTCCTCCCAGTTTTCCCAGCAGCGACTCATCCTTCTTCATCTTGCCCGTCTGTCCGGATGGTTTGGTGAGGTTCGCAGCCATCTGCTCCGCTGCGGCTTCAGTCAGAAACAGAACGAGTGAGAAGAATGGAAAGTAGGAGTCTGTGAGGGGCGGGGCGTAGTGGCCCGAATCTGGTCTCTGATTGGTCAGGTATGATGCGCTAAATTATTATTTTACTGTTTTAACTTTTTCTATGTATTTTCAATTCAACAGACACTACATTCACTTAGTGTCATTTATCATGTGCCAAATATTGCATAGATCGGTGCTAAGGATGGGCGGCGTAGTCACGTGGTACATGTTACTTTTCTCAGCGCTGACTAATCAGTTCACCGAAAAATGATCGTTTTTACAATTCTGCATAGAATAAAGAATTTGTTTATGCTTGTTTACCGGGTATTAATAGACATTATTCAGGGTAACGCCATGTTATGAAATGAAAACGAGGTAAAACCAGTAATGAAAACGAGGCTGTGAGGGATACAATACAAAAAATGTATACAACTGATTGTAGTGGAGTTTAAAAAAATTTAGTCTTTCAGTAGACAAAATCTGCTTAAAACAGTTTGAAAGTTACGTGATATAGTCCTACTGTACTTGTAAAGACATTGTACAAAACAAGGTCAAATTCAATATGGTGTCTGACCTGATTAAAATCTATAGATTTAGGTGAGCATAACATTATATGATAATAACACATATCACCAAAAAGACAGAGAAGGCTCTAAATGCGATTCTAAATTGAGGATTCTAGCCATTCAGCGCCTCCTTGTGAATATCGATTTCTATCCAATTGGAAACTGTTATAAACTGGTAACACTTGCCACCCAGTGGGTTTGGAAAAGCATCCCATGCCAACAATACAGATCATGAAAAACAACAGCAAACTTTTGAAAATAGATGATAATGTTGACATATCTCTAATATGTATACTTGATGAAAATTGTCTACTAATAATGAGAAACAAAGATTCAGAAAATGAGAAGATATAACTTTGCATAGGCTACTCACCGTTTTCTCTGGGTGTGGTGATGAATTGAACAGAAAGCAGCGCCGATAGTGAAATATCAGCAAAAAAGGAAGTATGAGCAAATTTTCACTGCAGATATATTTTGAGTCAGTCATTTATATAGTCATATCTGGAAAAGTGTTCTAACATCTTGAGCCATACCCTTAAGAGTCGGTCATAGAAAGATACTGAACACACACATACCACATCCACCTAACTAAGACCTCTGTTATTACAGCATATAAAACTACATAAATCATTATTATAAGACAACTTTCCACATAAAAAAAACATTGCTCTATTTACATTTATTCATTTAGCATTTAAATGAGGAAAACAAGTGGTGTATAATATATAACATTTATAATATGCTTACATCCTCAAATGGAGGTTTTGTCAGATTTAGCTCACTTCTAACTAAACAAACCCTACACAAACATCGTGGTCAAACAAAAAACTATCGAGAAAAATTGTAGCAGGTTCATTTTTAATGCCGTACAAAATTTACAAAAAGTACAAAAAAATGTTATTTTCCATAACTGAACATCAAAACGCAGGTCATTCAATGTTCCAGAGGTTTCCATCAGCTTTCTGAAACTGCACAAACACACATTATAATTTATTTATTCATCTAAGAGTGTATTCTAAGGTTACATAACACATAATTCACCATGTATGACATTTTAGATAAGTTAGTTCTGCAAAACTGCTCAATCACATTCGCCATATAATATTGTAGTGAACTGTGGGATTAGTACCTGATCAACGCAGAAGGCCCCAACACTCCTGCACCAAACTCCAGCGTTTCTGCAGCCTCTGTCGCTGCTTTTCCATCATCTGAACATCTGCAGGTTTGGGGGCCCCCAGGGGCCCGAGGGGAGGGACAGGGGCCCCAGAGAGGGCAGAGACCGTAACCTCCAGCAGATCTTTGTCATAGCCCTTAAGAAATGCAGGTATGGTGATTTACTAGTAGCAAGAAACTCTCATCCAGAAGATTGAGGCAAGTAAAATATAATAAAAAATACACAAAACAAATAAGTAAATTAAGAAATAAATGTAAAATAAATACAAAATACATGAAAACAAACAAATAAACACATTTTAAAAAATAAATGCATTTAAAAGACAAATAAAAAATAAATATATTGTAAATAAATATATTGTAAATAAATGCATTTAAAAAGTGTACAACAAATAAAATACGTACATTAAAAATAATACAGTTAAAATAAAACAATAAGTAAAATAAATGTAAAATAAGCAAATGTAAAATGAATAAGGAATAGATTTAATTAAACAATAAATGTGACCCTGGACCACAAAACCAGTCTTAAGCGTCAATTTTTCGAAATTGAGATTTATACATCATCTGAAAGCTGAATAAATAAGCTTTCCATTGATGTATGGTTTGTTAGGATAGGACAATATTTGGCCGAGATACAACTATTTGAAAATCTGGAATCTGAGGGTGCAGAAAAATCTAAATATTGAGAAAATCACCTTTAAAGTTGTCCAAATGAAGTTCTTATCAATGCATATTAAAAATCAAAAATTAAGTTTTAATATATTTACACTAGGAAACTTACAAAATATCTTCATGGAACATGATCTTTACTTTGAATAGATTTAATTAAACAATAAATGTGACCCTGGACCACAAAACCAGTCTTAAGCGTAAATTTTTCGAAATTGAGTTTTATACATAATCTGAAAGCTGAATAAATAAGCTTTCCATTGATGTATGGTTGGTTAGGATAGGACAATATTTGGCCGAGATACAACTATTTGAAAATCTGGAATCTGAGGGTGCAGAAAAATCTAAATATTGAGAAAATCACCTTTAAAGTTGTCCAAATGAAGTTCTTATCAATGCATATTAAAAATCAAAAATTAAGTTTTAATATATTTACACTAGGAAACTTACAAAATATCTTCATGGAACATGATCTTTACTTAATATCCTAATGATTTTTGGCATAAAAGAAAAATCGATAATTTTGACCCATACTATGTATTGTTGGCTATTTTTACAAATATACCCCAGCGACTTAAGACTGCTTTTGTGTTCCAGGGTCACAAATAAAGATATTTAAAACAAATAAATACATTTAAAAATTTTAAAATAAATACATTTGAAATGAACTAACTACATATCGGGGAAAAAAAGCATTTAAAATAAAAATACATTTAAAAAAATGTCAATGTATGTTTTGAATCGGTTTTAAAATAATAATAAAATATTTAAAAACTCTGACCTGCAGTACAGTGAGCATCTGCCCCCCTGCCAGGCCTTGGAGCAGGCTGGTCAGGTGACCCCAGACTGGTGTCAGATGAGTCTTTGCCCCACTGTCTCTGAAAACCCCCAGCACCAGACAGGGGTTAAACTCATACGCCAGAGGGAGGATCAGGCTCAGAACCGCATGCATGAATCCTGCCGTGAAGCTCTCACCCTGGAGACGAGCAGGAAGAGGAAGTGACTTCACAGAAATAAGACAAAACCCAAGATAATATCAGGTGTGTTCACAAACCTCTCTCAGACACAAGGACAAACGGTTCACGCACTCCTCTTCAGTTTCTTCAGCACAGACTTGGACTAGAAGCACCTTCCTGAAGAGACAGAGAGAGAGAGACTCACCCACTGAAGCTTTTTTGAAGAACTGAACAAATAATTTCTAATTAACTGAATTTTTCTTAGCTCTTCTGGAAAAAAAAAGTAAATATTAGATGAAAAACTTTCTAAATTAAAATCATAAATGTTGCCTTGACAACTAACTGAAATAATACGCTGAAGCAGTAAAATTACTAACAGGAAATAAATAAAAACTAAAACTGAATCAACAGTAAAAATGAAATAAACAGAAATTAAACCTAAACAGAAATGTTCCATAAATAAATAACAGGTTAATAAATAAATAAAGCACATAAGAAAAATGACCAAAAAAATACATTAAAAAAATAAAAATGAAAATATAAAAATAAAAGCTAATTCTAATTTTTAATAAATAAAAAAACATAACAGTATATAAATAATACTAAAGAATAGAAAATTCTAACAGTATTTAAAAATAAGTTTAAGATAGATAAAGTTCATTATTATTAAATATTTTTCCTAAAAATAGATGTAATACTAAAATTATTTTTTCAAACAGTAGTTTCGCTTTTGCAACGAAACACACAGTGTCTTTACAACATGGCGGCGGCGGTGACAGCAACAATAAAGTTACTCCTTCTTTCTTTGCGTGAACATTTGGGCGGAGTTATGCAAATCTTCCCACACAGTGATGTAGACGTGGGGGCGTGTTAGAACGAGCCGTTTTAGGAGGGCGTGGACAAGTCTTAACTTTTATAAAGAATATCTCTTTGGATTTGAGACTTTATTCTGTGCAACTTTAGGGATCTTATCTATTCACGAACAGCTTGTAACACTCCAAAGAGAAAGGAAAACTTGAAATCGCATCATATGACCCCTTTAACTCAAGCAAACAGCTTGTCCAATAAAAAGCACTCGCCGCATGATTGACAATCATCAAATCACCTCTCACAAGCAGCCGTGAGCCCTGACAGCCGAGGGGCCGGATCTCCAAGAAGGGTCTGGACGGTTTGGCAAACCGACTGGGCCAGAGAAGTCAGGTTATACCCTCCCTGAAAAAAAAATGAAGGAAACCATAAGAACCGATATATACAATCTAAACATGATAACACGGATAACAGGTCTTAAAAAATGAAAATATGATAAAAAGATTTGATGTGATAATGACAACTGACCTCCAGGACGACGCACATTTTGCCTGCAGCCAAAGGCATTAGCAGTTGGGTGAGGTGGGCAAAGATCTCAGGAATAGCACACATTTCACCCTGAAGCACAACAGACAGCAGTGTTAACAGTGTTAACCTATACAGCCCATCAAATAGGGCGGACACTTTTAGAAACAGCGTGACAAGATGCAGATTTGAAGAATTGAAGGAGTAGTTCACCCAAAAATTTAAATGTCTTGAAAAAATTACTCATTCTCAGGCCATATAAGATGTAGATGAGTTTGTTTCTTCATCAGAACAGATTTGGAGAAATGCAGCATTACATCACTTGCTCACCAATGGATGCTCTGCAGTGAATGGGTGCCGTCAAAATGAGAGTCCAAACAGCTGATAAAAACATCACAATAATCCACACGACTCAAGTCCATCAACTGAATGTCTTGTGAAGTGAAAATCTGCGTGTTTGTAAGAAACACATCCATCATTAAGGCATTTTCTGGCCAAAATATGAAACCATAATCCATAATAACACTTCCTCCAGTGACAAAGTCAATCTCCTGTTGTCCTCTCACATCAAAATCCACAGACATATTTGTTTATAACTGTTTTGGACTGTTTTCACTTATAAACAGTGCTTGATCTGTGCATATTTCTCTCCTGATTCAAACGAGATGACTTTTTCACTGGAGTGTTATTATGGATTATAGATTCATATTTTGGCAAATGCAGCATTACATCACTTGCTCACCAATGGATGCTCTGCAGTGAATGGGTGCCGTCAAAATGAGAGTCCAAACAGCTGATAAAAACATCACAATAATCCACACGACTCAAGTCCATCAACTGAATGTCTTGTGAAGTGAAAATCTGCGTGTTTGTAAGAAACACATCCATCATTAAGGCATTTTCTGGCCAAAATATGAAACCATAATCCATAATAACACTTCCTCCAGTGACAAAGTCAATCTCCTGTTGTCCTCTCACATCAAAATCCACAGACATATTTGTTTATAACTGTTTTGGACTGTTTTCACTTATAAACAGTGCTTGATCTGTGCATATTTCTCTCCTGATTCAAACGAGATGACTTTTTCACTGGAGTGTTATTATGGATTATAGATTCATATTTTGGCCAGACGTGACAGGTTAAAGTTAAAATGTCTCAACGATGGATTTTTTTCTTACAAACACACAGTTTTTCGCTTCACAAGATGTTAATTGATGGACTGGAGTCACGTGGATTACTTGTGGATTATTGTGATGTTTTTATCAGCTATTTAGACTCTCATTCTGACGGCACCCATTCACTGCAGAGGATCCATTGGTGAGCAAGTGATGGAATGCTACATTTCTCCAAATCTGTTCTGATGAAGAAAAAAACTCACCTACATCTACTTGGATGGCCCAACTAATTTTCATTTTTGAGTGAACTATTTCTTCAAACAGGATACAGAAAAGAAAATCACAGGTCAGGAGCTCAGACAATCACAGATTTAAAAAGAGCCTCTTACTTCTGGGTCCCCAATGGCTGAATCAAAACCAGCACTGACCAGAACCAGCTCTGGATCAAACTGAAAGAGACAAACATGTGCATCAGATTGACTTAGACACTCAGAAAACCATTGTCTAATGATTGCTCTTGTGCGACAGGTACCTCATACGCGACGGGTAAAAGAACATGGAAGAAAGCAGCCAGATATTCACTGTTCGTCATGCCCACCTGCAGGAAACAAGCACAGCATAGAAACTATGTGGCAAAAGCTTAAATATTATTTTAGTTTATTTCTTTACCAGTGAGAATGGTTCATTAAAAGCAGATTTGATTGGCATGCACTGCTGCTATGAAATACACATTTATGATAGAGTTTGATGGCTTCTGAGCATTGATTCAGTTTTCATTTGCCTTGTTCCAGGGGAGGTTAATGTTAAAACCGCGTCCTTTGCCTTTCCCAACACTGGTGTAGTCTGACTCGGGGAGATTTGGCCAGAAGGTCTGGTTCTCATAACGATGCCAAGAAAAATAAAGCACACTAGGACAAAAGGAAAATCTAATTATAGAAAATTATAGACATTTTAGAAATTCCCTATAATTACCAATTATTAAGTGCTTATACTAAGAATAAGTTGTCCTGTGGACATATATTATTTCTCAGTCTGTGCCGGTCTTTGAGGAGATTACATTTTTTTAAGCGATTAGAGTTATGATTTTATTATCTGGTGGATGATAAAATAGGTGGGAAAAATCTAGTTAAAATAATTTAATAATAATAAATAATTTAATAAAATAATTTTATCTGAAATAAAATAATGAAATATTAAATTAAAAAATGTAATTTAAAATGTTAACATTTAGGCTAGTAAACCACATTGTTCATTAGAAGGAAGATGGACTCACCTTGGGTCCTCCTCAAAGCAGTACTGGACACCTTGTCCATGGTGGATGTCCCAGTCCACAATCAAAACCCTAGAAAGAAACCACAAGCTCAAACGTATCTGTATGACAAATCTGCAATAGCAGCTGTTTAGTTTTCCTTTAGGGAGTATTAAAGTAATGTAAATTAGTTTTGTACAGCAGTGCAGGATGTAACACCCGTTCACCTGTTCAAGTTGTAGTTCTTCTTAGCATGAAGAGCAGCGATGGCCACATTATTAAACACACAGAAACCGTTCGCAGCGGAGCGCTGACTGTGGTGTCCTGGAGGCCTGAGGGTCACAAAAAGAGAACAAAAATGAATTACTAAAAACTAGAGATCGACATATTGTGTTGTCTAGTGAACAATACAGATTACTTTTCTATTTAAGTCTCCAATAACAAACATTTTTTAACATCATTCAAATCATTAATTCATTACAAATATTTTATTTTACAAATAGTACATTTTTATAAATGTTATTATCTATAAAATAATCATTATCAATAATAATAAATATTGAAATATTTTATTAAATTAAAACATTACTACATTTGAATATTAAGTTCAATCTTTAATTAAAATGTTGACTGTAAATGTTATTAAATATTAATATTAAATATGAGCAATTAAATATTCAAAGTACTAGTAGTAGTAGTAGTAGTAGTAGATAATAATGATTTATTCAATTAATACCTTATTAATATTGTTAATACTAAAAAAATAACAATATTAAAATGCACAATTAAATTCACTTTTAATTTAAAATAAGTTTAAAATGTATTTAATACTGTTATTGTTTAATTTGAACAATTACATATTGTTAATAATAATAAAATATTATGAAATTAAAATATGTATACATTATTAATATTTTTAATAATACCAATAACAACCATATGAATTCATAACTAAATGTATTATTAAATTAAAATTTATATTAAAATTGTATTAAATATTACTGATATTTAATATTAACAATTACTGTAAAAATGACTAAAAATTACTAAAATGTAGTTTTAAATGAATAACATTACATCTAAATATTATTACATATTATTTATATTGTTCATAATAACAATAACAACAACAATCATAATAATTTTAATTATGTTTTATTTTAGTTTCACTTTCGTTTTAGTTTAGTTTCAGACAAGCAGGTATTCCTGCTTCAAACTCACAGCCCCAGCAAAGCAAATCAAATATGCTGGGCTGCTCAATCATACTGCAGTTCTGTTTAGTGGCCAGTGGGGAATATATCACACACTTCTCCTTTAAATAGGCAGTCAATTAGGTGGACATCCGATCATGAAAGCAGCAGCTGTTGGTGGTGTGCTCACCTGACCAGCGCCATGCCGTTCCTGACCTCTCTCTTCATGACGCTCTCCACCAGCTGCAGTGTGGCGCCCACGGCCAGCTTAGCACAGTGATAGATGTTCTGCGCTCACATAAGAGTCGAGACTGTTGGGTAGCGTTCACATTGGCGGTCACCTGAACCCAGCAAGCATCAATGACCCGGACTTACCTGATGGAAATAGACGTCGCTGTACTGCTTCGAGAAAGCCATCAGCTCTTCCACGCTCATTTTCGGAGTCTGTTTAACTGCCTCCAGATATTCCTCACTAAAATAAACACAAAAGATTTTGAGACCGGACTCAATCATACAGCAACAGAAATGGGGCCTGGTTTAAACTCCAGCAACCTGTGTGCGAGTAAAATCTCCTGCTCGGTGGCCTGGCGGACCGGGAGCTGTTTGCACCTCTGTGTCACGCCGTGAGTCTTCAGCGCTTCGTAAGACACGGTCAACCGCTCGGGCACCGCTGTCGCTATCGCGCTCTCTCTGTCTCTCTCACACACACGATGCAAAACTCCGCATTTGAACAGTCAATAGCAAATACTTAAACTAGTAACAAAACATACTTACAGTCGCTGATTCAGAAGTGCCAGATCGTCATAGCAAAGTCAGAATTACCTCCTCTCCTAGGTTCACGAAACGGTCGTCCATAAAATGCATTGCTGTTCTGTTGTACAATCAGCTTGTAACACTCCAAAGAGAAAGAGAAAACTTGAAATCGCATCATATGACCCCTTTAAAAGAAGGTACACCGCCATCTTGTGCCGACTAAACTGACTTGAACGCACCTGACGTCGTAATTACGACTTGTCAACTCGTAAGTACGAACGTCCCAGGAGGACTTGAACGCAGCATTAGTACAACAAGTTAAACTAATTGAAATGAGCAATGTTGCTTTGGCAGCTAGCTGAAATAAAATAGAAGTTTGTTTTTCAGTTAGCGCTTGTTTTATTTCTAGTAACCATTTTTTATGGTTTTAGTTTAGGCTTTAGTTAAACTATAGCAACCCTGTTTTTCAGTAATAAAAATCATTTCTGAAATCAATAGTTATGTTTTTTTAGTATTGAAAATGCCCATTCCTGATTAGTACAAAATGCAAACCCAAGTATATCACTGTATATTTGTATTATTTAATTATCGAGTCTCACATACCTCAACACATTTCAGAAATCAGTTTTTTTTTTAAAACTAACTGGACATGAAATAGCATTTAATTATGCACCACAAAATAAGAAACCAACAAAAACATCAAAGATATGAAAAACAAACAAAAAATAAATAAATAAAAAATGCACATAAATCAAGTATGATCATTTTAACTCGTAAGGAATAATATGTATGGGATCATGTGGTAATACTATGGGACCACCATACAGAATCAATGATTTTCACATTTTATTCACCATTTTATTTGCATATAAAACTGTGACGTACTTCATTGAATGCTATGTACTATCCATAATATTATGTCTAAAACATAGACTGTATTATGTCTAAAAACAACAGCATAACATGAGACTTTGTAAGAGACGTACAGTAAGTGATGAGATGACTTACTCTTTCCAGAGGAGTTTATAACGGCTCATCTCCTCATCAAAGATCAGTGCGCTTCCTGAAGCCATTTAAACACTCTGCTCTGGACTGCGACGAAAAACAACTGATTAATAACTGTAAATCACTGTAAATTACAATTTCAATCACGCACGGGAAAGCAGAACGGTTCAAAGTCCCTTCAAAGTTGTTGTTTCCTTTTCGTCGCTTCTTCTTCTTCGTATGATGTTTTATGGCGGTTGGCAAACCAGCTTTTGGTGCATATTCCGCCACCTACTGGGATGGAGTGTGAGGTGATGATGTCAAGGGAAATGCTAATTTAAAAAATATATAATAATAATAATAATAATAATAAATAATAATAATAAAATTAAAAAAATAATAATAAATACATAACTTAAATTTTTTTTTTTTTTAAAAACCTTCTACCTATATTTTATTATATAAATTTTCTTCTTCTTGGTTTTAAACGGCGGCTGGCACCAACGCAAATAGGTGCATTACCGCCACCTACTGCTCCGGAGTATGAAACAGAGTTCTAAATTCTATTTACCAACCCTGCATCTCTTATCAAATCTTACTATTTATTTCACTTGCCCATTTGATTAAAACCTTAAAATTAAGATCCTGAATTCCATTTTCCCTTATTTCTACTATCATTTTTCCGCTTTTGGTGCATATTCCGCCACCTACTGGGATGGAGTGTGAGATGATGATGTCAAGGGAAATGCTAATTTAAAAAATATATAATAATAATAATAATAATAATAATAAATAATAATAATAAAATTTAAAAAATAATAATAAATACATAACTTAAAATTTTTTTTTTTTTAAAAACCTTCTACCTATATTTTATTATATAAATTTTCTTCTTCTTGGTTTTAAACGGCGGCTGGCACCAACGCAAATAGGTGCATTACCGCCACCTACTGCTCCGGAGTATGAAACAGAGTTCTAAATTCTATTTACCAACCCTGCATCTCTTATCAAATCTTACTATTTATTTCACTTGCCCATTTGATTAAAACCTTAAAATTAAGATCCTGAATTCCATTTTCCCTTATTTCTACTATCATTTTTCCTCTTTTTTGTTCATACTTGCTACATTCAAGAAATACATGAGGTATTGTTTCTTCAACGTGACATTGCTCACATAACCCATTTGGATGTTTCCCTGTTATTTTAAGAGTGCTATTTAAATTTGAGTGCCCTAGCAATATTCTGTTAAAGATACACTCTAAAAAATGCTGGGTTAAATACAACCCAGCGCTGGGTTAAATAGGGACAAACCCAGCAATTGGGTTGTTTTGACCCAGTGGTTGGGTTACTACCCAGAAGGTTGGGTTATACATTTTACCCAACCGCTGGGTCAAAACAACCCAATTGCTGGGTTTGTCCCTATTTAACCCAGCGCTGGGTTGTATTTCTTAGAGTGTAACCTCTTCTTTCCTTGACTTACCTATACACTTTATATTATGACTTACTTTGTTTATTAAACTGTAAAGGAATCAACCTTTTTTGTAGGATGTTCATCTTTATGCCCCTGGAGGTTAGCCCAGTAATTGACCATTAATTGCTTCCTTCTAATTTCTAGTGGCATCTCTCCTACGAAGACTTGTAAAGCTGGAATGGGTGTAGTCTTTACTGCTCCACAACACGGTCTCATCGCTTGAGCTTGAATTTTACAAAGTTTTTCCAACAGGCTTTTTGGAGGCAGAACCATGTACCGCACAACCATAATCAAACACAGACCGGATCAGTGCTACATGCAAAACGAAGCTACACTACCTATCTTTTGGAAGAGACTTATTTTCATTTATTTGAATTCTTTTGTAAAGCCTTGTGCAATGTTATTACTAACCATTTGCTTGTGCATTTTTCTTTTTTGTTAATGCAACGCGTTTTTTTTTATACATTTATACAGTAATTCTGAATACAATGGGTATTTTAAATGTCAGTCTTTTGCTGTTACTTGCCTAATTTCATATTCACCAAATCTGGATGTCTCTGCACTTCTCTGGGTCTTGTAATTATTATTTTTTTTAAATAAATGCTTAACACTCTCAGTAGATATATATTTGTTTTTAACAGTGTCCAACAACGTACAATTCACAAGCATCAGAGCAAAACTCTGTATTTTTTTTTCTGAAATCCATTAATATATTAAACACAATGTAATTTCCACGTCTCAAATGATGTGAATTTGAACCGTAACAATAATAAATAATGAAGACAAGGTAAAAACTGTTTTCCAAGACAGTTTTAATGCACATTAGTTAACGCACACATACCTCATTGTCACGTGGTGCCACTTACATTTATGCTCACTGTTAGGATGATGTGGTTAGGATGGACCTAAATGACAAAGCACAATTTTCTGATGACAGAATCACAATAAATAAAAACCTTTATATTTATTTTAAAATAAAAAGTGGCAAGTGCTAGAGCAAAATCATAAATAGAAAGGTATGAAATCAAAAAGAACAATGCTTAAAAACTGTCAACAAACATAATAATGTATATAAAAAGTGTAATAAAAGTGCAAAAATATAGAGTAAATCCATCCAAATGCAACCTATTTGAAATTTTCAATGGCCCATATGAGAATTACGGTATTGCTCCTTTGTCCATGTTTTTAAAAACTATGGTTAATGCATCTGGTTAAAGCATCTTTTACAGTATATGTTACTACATATACTGTATACTACATACTGTACTATTACTATATAAACACTAACTGCAATTAAGGAGTACAATTATTTGCAAAACTCTTAATATCAATCTAATTTACTCTCTCCATTATGGGAAGATTTTTAAAGCACTTTTTGGTCGATTTTTGGACATTAACTGAATTTTAAGCAAAAAAATATTCATATGACAAACACTGAAAGCTATAAACATTCATACTGATAATTTATGAAGTGAACAAATATATTGTTAAACAGTTATTTGTAGATCAGCAGCTTTTTGTTGGCAAAATATTCTGGCTTGGCACACATGCTGTTTTGATCCATTTGGGTCTGTTGTTGACGTAGTTAGAAAAGCCATGGTGTAAACTTATTAATATCATTCATATATGTGCATACATATGTGTGTGTTTGGCAGTTATATGGCACAGCATGTAGAAACACCGACGTCTTCAGATTCCCAGAGTCTCTTTGGTCACCTGACATCCGAGCAGGACATTCCCCACACACACACACTGAGACAGATCTCCCACTGAAACACACACACACTCAAACCATCAGTGTGTGTCACAGAACTGAAGATATTTGCTGAAACGTCTCTTGATGAACGCTGACTGAATGAATGCGGTCTGGAATGGAGATCTCACCTTTCTGAGAGCCGATCCATGACGCTGCCTTCATGGCCACAAACTGCCACTCCACCTGCTGCTCTATTTTACAGCCGTATAACCAGATCAGAGCCAGGAGAGTGGCCCATACTGACCCATCCACCTGTGTACAAACCAGCATCCACTGCATTTGTTACTGGACACTGCACACAATCATCACTGTCTTATTATTTCATCACATCTCTCACCTGTGCTGGTTTCTGATTGGTCAGCTCATCCTCCGTCTCCCCAAACACATCAGCCAGGGTGGCGTCCAGATCCCAGCAGCCTGACGCCTTTTGCAGAGAAACCAGCTGCAGTAACGGGTCCTTCTGAAGCTCAGGAGCAGCTGAACACACACACACACAAACATACAAGAATAAATAAAAATCAATATATATCAATAATAAAATTAAATAAATAGCTATAAAACAATGTGAATTTTGTGACCTACTACACTTGTCAAATGTATGTCAAATGAGTCAATTAACATCTTGTAAAGTGAAAAGCTACTTGTTTGTAAGAAACAACTTCATCATCAAGGCTTTTTAACTTTAACCGTCACTTCTGGCCAGAATGAGTCCATAATCCATAATAACGCTTCCTCCAGTGATAAAGTCCATCAACTGTTGTCCTCTCACATCAAAATCCACTGACATATTTGTTTAAAACTGTTTTGGACTTGGGATCTGTGCATATTTCTCTCCTGATTCAGACGAGACGACTTTTAAGACGACTCGTATTTTAGCCGAAAACAAAGGTTTGAAGTTAAAAATGCCTTAATCGTGGGTTTGTCTCTTTCACTTCTCAAGATGTTAACTGATGGACTGGAGTGGTGTGGATTACTTATGGATTATTTTGTGATGCTTTTATCAGCTGCTTGAACTCTCATTCTGACGGCACCCATTCACTGCAGAGGATCTATTGGTGAGCAAGTGATTTAATGCTACATTTCTCCAAATCTGATGAAGAAACAAACTCATCTACATGTTAGATGGCATGAGGGTGAGTACATTATCATTTTTAGGTGATATATTCCTTTATATACTGCACAGTTTTCAGTAACTAAGCTAGTACCAACTGTTGTCCTCTCACATCAAAATCCACTGACATATTTGTTTAAAACTGTTTTGGACTTGGGATCTGTGCATATTTCTCTCCTGATTCAGACGAGACGACTTTTAAGACGACTCGTATTTTAGCCGAAAACAAAGGTTTGAAGTTAAAAATGCCTTAATCGTGGGTTTGTCTCTTTCACTTCTCAAGATGTTAACTGATGGACTGGAGTGGTGTGGATTACTTATGGATTATTTTGTGATGCTTTTATCAGCTGCTTGAACTCTCATTCTGACGGCACCCATTCACTGCAGAGGATCTATTGGTGAGCAAGTGATTTAATGCTACATTTCTCCAAATCTGATGAAGAAACAAACTCATCTACATGTTAGATGGCATGAGGGTGAGTACATTATCATTTTTAGGTGATATATTCCTTTATATACTGCACAGTTTTCAGTAACTAAGCTAGTACTTTCCAAACATAACCATTGTGTCCATCTTCTGTGTGTGTGTGTGTGTGTACCATCAATTTTGCTTTCAGAGTCTGTTTGATCAGACACGGCAGTCGCAGTCTTAGAACGACGGCGGAAAAAATTCTGGATCTCTGCAAATGAAAACAATGATCGTTAACCATGAGGTGATGCTGCATTTGTGTTGCACATTTAGTGAACTTTAGTGATGCTGTGTATTCATTGTGATACTTGTCATGAATCCGATCCTCTGTTTGGGTGCACTCACTAAAAAAAAAAAAAAAAAAGATTGCTCAAATTAAAATGATGCTTTTCTTACTCTTTTCAGAACAAGGCTTAACAGTAACAGACATTTTCACAGATATGAACATATTATGACTGTGAATGATTATTTGAACTGGTTACTTCTCTGATTTTCCTTCACTATTTTTAAATATATATATATATATATATATATATATA